GCAGAGCCTCGACATATGGGGCACACAAATCCTGGATAACATCTGTCAATTTCATGCTTTATACATTTAAAATGAAATAAGTGGGAGCAAGGAGTAAGAAACAATGCTTGGCATGGTCCAATGCCACTTAGACAAATACAACAATCTTTTTTTTGTTGTTTATAGGCATCGGGTCCTGCTAATTGTGTAAAGTCCTTCAATGCATTGATACTATAATTATGTATTAATATGAATAATATGTAAGTTTAAAAAAAACCAAAGAAATCTCATTGCTTTTCATTAACGCCCACCTGAATGTATTTATCTGTCTTTTCCATGAACGATTTAACTCTATACGCATCTTCACACACCGATAAATTTCTAATCATAGACAGAGTTAAAGCTCTTGTAATTACAAATTCCAAGACCACTAATATCAATAAACATATTACCTTCTGTTCCCCCTTGGTAGTCAACTCCAAGCTGAACAATGTCGCCATCGTTTAATTGAAATGCTTTGCTTTCGGCACCCGGCGTAGATAATCGGGAATGATTAAGAAAGGTCCCAGAGGACGATTTTGTGTCTCGAATGAAAAACTAATTGAGGGAAGTAAGTATTAATATAATAAATTAATAAAAAACTGTCTGTTTTTCAAGCAAGCTTGTGTGTATCCGACATCGCACTCAATAACAACATTCAACATCAGAAAACAAGTTTTATCCTCTAAATACTCAAGATATCACGGTATCCTTTGAATACTACAAACCTTGTTACCCTCACTCCAGATTTCTGCGTGACCTCTAGAAACTACCTTACTCTTAAAAGTGACTCGGTTCGCAACTAGTGCCTTATCTGTGAAACGCCCAATCTTTATGACCACACCGTCAGGAACGTCCCGCTCGATGATGTCAAAACGCAAAGAGCGAGGACCATCTACGTGCGGCACAATACGAATGGCCGGAATTAGATCTTCTTGAGGTTGAGGAGACATAATCTGACCGAAATGCAAGTAATGGCTTAACACCAGTTGCAATTGTATCGTATTAAATAATTGTCTGTTCCACTGAATTATCACGTGTAAAA